AATAAGGTTTACTATCTTGCTTAAAAATGCGCCAGCAAGGAAAAGTGCAAAAACTTAACGATACTCAGACATCCGATACACATGGATCCAATATCCAAATCTCTCTGTAATAATTTTCATCAAAGTTCACCTCTTAAACAGTGTTTTGCCGTAATTTTGAGAATATAGAAAGGCCAGAAGCCAGATTTTTTTCAATTTTTGTCAGCAAGATATGTAAATAATATTAAAATTATAGAATAGAAACTTCATAAAAATGAGAATTAAAGATAAAAGGAATGAGAAATCGCCAATTTCCTCTGACAAAATTTTTTCGACCTATGAAGAAAAAATAGTAAAGGATTTAATTGAAATTTGGAACGATATACGAACTAAAAGAGACAATTGTTTAGGAGAAACAACAGAATATTTTATTCAATGGCTTAAAAAAGAACATTTAAATAATATAATTAAATTGCTAAAAACAGATGAAGAGTTTTGGAATTTACTTAATTCTTGTAAGTCTTTTTTATGACATTTGGTGTTGTCTAACTTAGGACCAACAGAATAATAAAAGAATAGAAAATGGTTTATTACAAGAGTAAATACGAGAATAACTAAGGTGACAATAGGCAGGGTTAATGATAGACCAAGACTGATCGCCAGTTTTTTACTAGATCCGAAACATAACAGTAAGTATGATATTATAACTTGTTGTCAAATGTGACCGAATTCATCACTCAATTCATTAGCAAAATTGAGTGACACTAAATCAAGGGACGGTCTCAACTCTGAGTCAAAATATAGACTATTATGTTGTTGACCATCTCTGAAAGTTGGAGAATTTGAGATTTCATCCCTCTCTCTTCATTGTTTCACTAAATCCACAAACTAAAATAACCTTGTTTTTTATTTAGCATTCGAATTAAACAATTTAGTAAGAGAAAATCTTTTAAAGTTAATACCAGAAAATGAAATAAATAAAATTTTGAATATTTTAAATTTAAAAAATAAAGGGAAAGAAAAAGAAGAATTAATTTTTGAAAAGGATGAAGATAATTTAAATGACGAAAATGAAGTTATTAAAATTAATGATGGAGAATCGACTAAAAAAGTATCAAGTAATAAAGGAAAATTGAAGAAAAATAATAAATCAAAAAAGAAAATGAAGAAAAATAAAATGGGTAAAAATGGTGATAATAAATTTAGTTTGGATAAGGGAATTGAAAGTGCATCAAATTTAGTTGGGGAAATTGGATGGGAGGAAGATGAGAAGGACATTGGGGATTCAGAGAAGAATATTGAAGAAGTAAAAAAGGAACAGGAGGTAAAGGAAGAGAGGAAAAAGGAAAAGGAAGGAGAGAAGGAAGAGGATGAAGAAAAGAAGGCAAAGGGAAAGGATGAAAGGGAAGATGAAAAGGACATGGGGTATTTAGTGAAGAATATTGAAGAAGTAAAGAAGGAAGAGGAGGTAAAGGAAAAGAGGAAAAACAAGAAGGAAGGGGAGAAGGAAGAGGAAGAAGAAAAGAAGGCAAGTGGCAATGGTAAAAGAGAAGATGAGAAGGAAGAAAGTAAGTCAAAGACGGAAGAAGAGGAGAAAGAAGAGAAGGATAAAGCAAAAGATCTACAAATAATTGAAGAAGATATGAAAAAGGCGGTTAAGGAAGAATTTGAAAACGAAGACGATCTGACAGGAAAATTAAAAATCGGGAAAGGACTAATTAATAAGAATGTTCAAGCAAATGAGAGTCAGAAGACTTGGATTTTGAAAGAATTTATCAATTCAGATGGGGAAAATAAACTAAAAAATTTATATAAGAGTGTTATAGAAAACCCTCAAAATTTCAATGAAAAAAAGATTTTGGATGTAGTTGTTTATTTAAATTTGTTGACGAAACGTTTTGAAGTTTTGAAATATTTGAGGAAATTCCCCCAAGTTTTTGAAATTTTATTTCCTGGAGAAGATGAGGGAAATGAAAAAAATGGAGATAAATTAGTAGCAAAATTGGAAAGAACTTGGGAATATAAATTAAATAAAGATTTTAAGAAAAAAGTTGGAATAAAAGAAATTAATAAAATTGAAAAGGATTTGTATTGTATTATGTTGGATTTAATTAAAAGAATGAATGGAATAGTTGAATTAAAATGTAAAGTTAAGAATGTGAAAAAGGAAGAGCTATTAAAGGTCAGTTTATGTATGTTCCGGATCTGCCCGAGCGTTGTAGGTCTACGAGCACATGTAGGCGAAGTTGGAATTGGGACAAGATCAGACGGGAGATCAGGCTAACCGGATTAGTATGACAAATTATAATCACAACCCGGGCCTGTATCATAAGAAGGTAGCTGACTTTTTTTTAAATTGAGATATTTATTTTTTGCCAAAATATAGATTGGAATTAATTAAAAAGCCATCCCAGATGCGGTCGAAGCCATCCCAGATGAGACTGCTCCTTCAATGCAATATTGATAACCACTCACCCCATATGTAAAGATCGTTTTTATTTATGGGAGAAACTTAGGGAGAAACTTAGTCTGTCTTACAATATTTTTTAATAAAGATGAGACGTCAGCTTCATCTTGATGCATTTTCTACTGCACTTTTGGAAAAAAATTCGCGTTATGAAGAAAACCAATTTGAAATAGTTCGAGTAATTTTTGAATTGAACAATGAAATTACAATTAATTGGATAAATAAAATTTCAAAGCGTAAAGGTGAAATGAGGAGAATAAGAGAGCAATTTAATATAGACAACCCAGAACAAAAAGAAAATTTTTATTTAAATCCAGAAGGCTTCCAACCCATTGAAATATATGAAACAAAACTCGATCATGATTTTTTAGATTTTTTGGAAATAAAAAAAGACGAGGGAATAATTAAAAAGGCTATGGGAAATTTAATTAAAATAATAAATAAATGGAAGTCTAAAAATGGGATTAAAGGCAAATTTAAAATTAGCGGGATATACGAGTTTGGTATTTGGGCAATTGAGGATGTTGAAATTAATATTGTATTTAATGACCATTTAGTTTCAAAATATTTTGGTTCTGAAAAGTCAATTTGTGAACCTCTAATTTTGAAAAATTGTAAAGACAATTCTCTCAATTGTTTTTTATGTAAAGAGCAATTTAAAGATTTTGAGGTTAGATATATTATTTTAATCTACGAATGTTCAGAGAGAGCATGTTAGGACATGAATTATTTAATTTTTTTTGGTTGGAAAGAAACAGGGAGCCTCGACGGGCCTTGATGACACGGACTTTTGACTAACAACTATATAGGCCACAACGGGCTAATCGGTCTTTGTCACAACGCTAGACTCCTAGAGGCTGTTACGTTTATAGGATTGAAGGATCTCAATGCTTTGGGGAAATATCCTAAACCCAACCCTGAACAGAACCGGGACTTCCCTTTAGGATGTGGGTACGCCGAAACCATCTAATATATTTCTTGTCCAAACAATAAGAATAAATAAAAATATTTATTTATTGAATATACAAAATTACAATTTAATTGAATAAAAACTTAATAAGAAGTGAATAATAAAAATCGTAGGGAAAATATTATTGTTAATGTTCATAAAGGTATATTTATTGTCCTTTCCCCAACCAATCCAGAACAAATTTTGGCTAAACAAATAAATAAATCGACAACAAAAATAATCGAAAAAGCAATGCTTGATGGTTATTACATAAAAATTATTTAAAAAATTATTTTTAAAATTAATTTGACAGGTTTAAAAGAAATTAAAAAAATTAGTAATGGAATACTCAACCAATCCTCTGAAGCAATAAATAATTATTGGAAAAAATTTTTAGAGCCAAAGAAGTTTTCAGAAATGGTTTTTAAATTTAGACATACACGGACCTCATTTTTAGATAGACCCATATACTCTATAACAGAATATATCTTAAATATTATGCTTGATTATTATCAGAGAAATTTTCAATAAGGGTCTTTTCTCGATTAATTACCCTCCCTTGAGTAATTATCAACTTCCTATTAACTCCTTACCAACACGCTTTAATGTGAAACTGAAAAATAATTACCCCCTCAAATACTTTACACACTTTCTTAAAACTCAAATAATTCCCCTCATTCTACTAATTACCTCCTCTAGCTCCTAATTTTAAATAGAGGTGTTCTTTGTATGAGTGTACAAAAAAATGAGGGTTGAGTGTTTAAATCTTTTTTATCCTTCAAGTATCAACATTTTGTTTTAATTTCCTGTTATGCTACAAATTTGTTAGAGAAACAAAATTTTTGCGGATTTGTTGAGGAAAAACTTCCCCATAAATTAATAGAAAATATAGAAAATAAATTGGATAAAATAAATTATTGTCATCTTGGAAAGAAGATTGTTGATCTTTGTCCGGAGATTAATGAAAAGTATGTAAATTTATTTAAATTCTAATTTTTCCTATTCTTATTTTTGGGAAAATTACTAGCCGTAATGACATTATTGTAGTAATTGATAAAGATATATTTATAAAATTCTTACCAAAATTTTTTCTTATTTTGAGGAATTAAAGCAAAAACATTTCAATAACATTTCTCTACATCTCTACATACTATCTCTTATTAGAAATGATACAGAGGTGTAATACTGCCATTATTAAGAATAATTATTTGTTAATATTTGTCCCTTGATAGGGTAACTATTAGGGAGGTACGGTAATAAATTTTTGTCGGCAAATGACTTGGTTCAGGGTTTGATAAACGCGATTTTCGGTGGCGGTAATCGAGATTTTTAATAATAAAAAATGGGTAATAACAATATTTTGTGTATCAGGCTAAAAACACAGTCAGATAAACAGCTCAGAACGAAAAACTACCACCCACCAGTCGTGAAATTAAAGATAATTTTAAAAAATAATCGGCACAATTTTCTCAAATTTACCGCGGTAATAGTCGTTTTTACGGTGTTAACTTATCAAACTTTTTTCAAACTTTTTTGTCAAACTAAAACTTTAATATTTTCTGTATGTGTAGAAAATATTAAAATTTATTTTATTCATTTATCAGAATGCAATTTTGCTCTACATGGATAATTGGTTTTGAACTTTTAAGTAAAGAAAGCAATAATATTGATGAGAGTGATATTGATGGGAGATTTGGCGAATTAATTGAAGAATTAAAATTAACGGATCAGTATAAAATCGGGATAAACGAATTGAAGTTTACATCGCTGAGCCTTTCCAAGAAAAATTAATTTAAAATAATCATTCTTTGTGATAATACTTTTTGAAATTTTTTATAAATGGATTTTTTATTTCAAAAATAGATTAAAATTATTAAAACTATAGAGCTTTGCCAATCTAGTCAAAGTAGAGTTAGCGGTATGTGGATTCAGATCAGTATCGGTATTTTGGATTATCAGAAATCCAAAATACCGATCGAAAAATCGGTATTGGGGTTCAACGATCGAGATCGAATATTCGGTATCGGTATATTTGGTTGAGTGGCAGATTTGGACCCGAGACCGAGAATAACCGAGGTTTTATTTCAAATTTTTTTATAAGTTTTCAAAATTTAGTTAAATTACTAAACTTTTCAAATATTCATTAAATTATTATAATATTCATTTGCACAAGCTGATTCTGATCAAATATGGAGGTCGTCAAATCAGAAGATAGACAAATTTGTCAAATAATTTTGATCTTTCTACATTAAATACTGAAGAAATAATGCTAGTTTTTTATGCTTGTTCGTTACATGATTAAAATAAGGAAAAAAGTTAAATATTTAAATAAAGATTAGAAAAATATCAATGATCAAAACTCATTATATAAATATCACTCGGAGCTGAAAACTTCTCCTATTTTGAGAGGCTAGTATTTTATAGAAGAGCAGCTCCTTCCATTGGCCAGACAAATTTAAAAAACGTATCCTAAGCTGTGAGTGTTATTTAATATGTAGGTGGAAGGGGTGTCCGAAAGTGATTTTAAAAGTCAAAGAAGGATGAAAGTTTAGTTAAAAACCAAAAGGTTAAAGTCAAAAAAGGCTAAAATCGGCGAAAAGTTAAAAATAAAAGGCGGAACTGGCACACTCTTGGCAGGTGTCATTCAATCCTCATCGTCATATTCTTCTTCCTCTTCATCCGATACTAAAGTAGCATTTTCAATGTAATTGCTAACCTGTAAATAATTATATAAAAGTAAAACAAAAATAATTTAACTAAAATATTACTCAGATTTTTACAAATCGGAATTCTTATTCTATTAAACACAAAAAAATAATTTTTAACGGGTATCGTGTGACTATTTCTTATTTTCATGATATTCTGAAGCAAAGACAGCAAAGTCTAAATTTTCATCGTCAGAGACAAAAATTATTAAATTTTCACTGGATTCGAATATCCTTAACCACCCATCCAACTAACCTCATTAGTTTATGCTGCCTTGTAGAGGTTACTCTTATTGATACAACAGTAAAAATTTTTAGATAATTATTATGAATAATTTACAATTTTTATAATTATCTAAATCAGTCTAATCATCTCCCACTTTTTCACAATTAAAAAACAAAAATTTTAAAAACTTACAAAACTATAAAATGGACGTATTTGAGGTGGAAATTTTTTAAACCCTTCTGTTTCCATATTAGTTAAAGTTTGATTATACCCAATACTTCCAAATATCGCAATCACGTTTGGAATAATAACTTGTTGTTGGATTAATTTTTGGAGGTTTTCATCTAAAGAAAAGTAGATTCCATACAAATGTGTATGGTAACTAATAACAGTTTTTATAAAATCATATTCCTGCTTCGTTAATTTGTTTTCGACTTCTTAAAATTTTATTTAATTAGAGAGACTTTTTATATTATTATCAGTGCTGGATATAATATTAAGATAGGAGGAGTGAGGAAGAGGAGCTGAGGAGGAGCCAGGAGCCAGCCACCTTTGAGCAGGAGCCACAAACTGCCCACAATACCCAGTACTGATTATTAGTAAATTAATTCATAAAATTTTATTTTACTTGTAAATGTAAATATAACGTTCATAAATGGTCGAATATTCGTTTGATAAATAAATGACGGGTTGTAAGATTGTCTCAGATGTTCTTCAATCATACGTAAAGAATCCAAAAGACGTGCACGTGCTGAAATACAATTTATAGTGATCTAATCTGATAATTAACTTAAGTTATTAATGTGATAGGGATACATTTGATATTCACTAGTTAACATTCATAAATTACCTTGATAATGCCCATGTCTATAAGAAACTCGATAGTTAGATATATAAGAGTATATCTGTAGATGGCGCAATGTGAAGTGTAAAAGATGATTGGCGGTAACCTCAAATTCGTCATAGGCATAAAAATATTCAAAAATTGAAAGTTGGTTGCTAAAATATTTAATTGTATATTATTTATTTTAGTTAGCGAGCACTAAAACACCATCTTGAACTTTCGTGAGTAAGGTTATAAACTTATGGACAGATAGCGACTGAGAGTTTTGGGAGAAGTTTCTGGCGGGAATTTTGACTTCTAGGAATTAGACCCGTTCCTGATCACGTCAAAATTTCAGTTTCGGGACAGTTCCTCGTATTCTTTTCTTGTTAAATACTACAATATATTTAAAAATAAATAGTGAGGTCTAAAGCTTCTTTTAAATTTTAAATTCTAATAATCAGCCTTTTTAACAAAAATTACCCTGAATTTGTAAATAAATTTATATAATATTGGGAGTGATTTATTATAAACATTCCGATAAGAATTCTTGTTAAAGCTAACAAATTATAAAAAATTAAAAGATTCTTTTCGAATTGTGTTGGTTCTTGTATATTTTGTAAAATATTATTTAGTTCTTCTCCACTGAAATTTTATTCAAAACAAATTTTTTAATGAAAAATATTTTCCAAAAAAACCTTTTAGAATTTAAAGATGTTGGACAGGGGAAATTTCCACGATTAATTAAATTTCTATCTATTTCAATACCATATTGACTTAGAAACAAAATATAATTACGAGTTTGCATAAATCTGCCAAAATCAACAAGTCGGCTATAAATATAGCCCATTTTCTTTTCCGGATCAGCCAGTTCAACTCTTACATTATTCATATACTGTCCAATAACAATATTTTCAATGTGTCTAATAGCCTTAAAAATTAATATTATTTACTAGTGATTCAAAAACATGTTACCGTATATCCTTTAATAACTACCCTGGGTAATTATTGTTTCGACCTTCCGCTGGAGGGAGTAATTAATTGAGGGAGGTAATTATACGAGGTTTGAAATTTGAACGCATCTTAGGGCATTTGTTGGGGGATAATTATTGTTTCAATCTATCGCTGGATGGGGTAATTAATGGAAGTGGGGTAATTATTTGCGGGAAAGCAATTAATACAGGTTATACGGTAAACGGGAACTATTGTAAAACGATGTCCATGCTGTGGAAAAATTCATTGGATGGGAGATGGAATTGAACCATCATGGAATCAGCCCAGACAGAAGCACAACCAACTGTGCCAACCCGATGATGGGTTATTTATTTTCATTTTTATTCTTTCTGCAAGTGCGGACATAACAGGAACATGTCTCTTTCGTCCACCCTACCCTTAAGTGAAAAAGTTTAGGAAATATAGTGAGAAAATAGACAATATTTGATTTGTTTCCAAGAAAATATTTACAAATAAACTTCAAGAAAAAAATTCTTCCCAAATATTTTTTAAACAAACTTTATTTATTTTTGACACAGAAAGTGTAATATTTTGATTATTAATCAACTCTGGAGAATTTATTGCTTGAAGAACACGTACTCCCATATTTAAAATAATATTTTCCATTCTTGAATTGTTAAATTCTTCTATTTTAATATTTTTTAAAATGTTAATGAGAAGAGACAAGTCGACAAGATTAAATTCTTTAAAGTTGGCAGGTTCTAGAAGAGTATTTCGGCCAGTTCGCATACCTCATATTTTTATTTTTAAAATTTAATATAAAATATATTGTAAGGAAGAAGTGAATTTAGAGATGGTTAAGATTTAAAATGTTTGCTAGACGAGGGAGGGATGTAGCTTAGTCTACATATTACAAGTGAAGGAGCTTAGTCCCGTATCGGCGGTAAAGCACATGTACGTGTTGAGCGAAGGGGTCTCAATTAGGAATTGAAAAAATCAAATTTCAAATTAAATAATTGGTTCAGACCAAAATTTTATTTATTCGATCTACTTTCAAAAAATCTCTGCCTTCTAATCCAAACTTTTAAGAATAAAATATTAATTTTCAACCTGATGGGGGGTTCATTCCTTTAACCAAATTTTGAGACAGATTTTGGTTAAAAATAAAGATAAGAGTTGTTATAACGATTGGAAATAACATTTTAGTTAAAATTTCTTCAAAAATATCAGAAAATTAACTAAAGAGAACTCTACAATCTCTTATTTTTGGGGTCTTTTTGCTGATTTTTTTTGTTTTGTTAATTTTTTATGGGAATTTAGATTTATTTATTCTAAAAATAATTAAGAAAAATTAATTTTAGAATTATTTTATTATAAAAAAATTATATTCTCAAGACAATGGGAGAGGGTGGGGGGTAGGGGAGATATTGAAAATTTTTGTAAATAGGAGAGGAATTTTTAATGGAAGTGAAATTTTTGTTGAGGTGGATTTTTTGTTGTGAATCAATAAACAATTTAAAAAAATTTAAATCCTAAGAGTTAGCCCTCCTAAAATAATAAGTAAAAGAGATTTAACTCGGAATTAGCCCATTTTCTAGGGTTAGATCTAAATAATATTAAAGTTTCTCCTTTTTTTTTGTCTAAAAAATGGCATTTTACAAATGAAATATAGGGAGATTTATTTTTAATTTGAAGGGAAGGGAATTTTAAATTTTTATATGTAAAGGAGAGAGAGAATTTTTTATAGTGAAGTTAAGCAATTTTGAGGTTATTAATTTTTAAAAAAATAGAGAGGAATAAGAAAATGAAGACAATGGGGGGAGAGGGGGGGATAGGGGGGGAGGGAGAGAGGGAGGGAGGTGGGATATTGAAAATTTTTGCAAGGAGAGGAATTTTTAATGGAAGCAAAATTTTTGTTGAGGTGGATTTTTTGTTGTCAATCAATAAAATGGTAAAAAAAATTTTTTAAACATAAAAAATAAAAGATTTTAAAGAAAATTCTAAAAGATTCAAACTTAGGCGGGTGTTTAAGTTATATAAAAAATAATTTAAAGCATGCCCTGATAGAACATTATATGTAAATTTTTTATATTATAGTTTTAAATTTTCCTATACAAAAGAGCAAAATTTGGGCTGATAATTTATTTTTACGAAAAAGTTTTTAGGGTAGGGGAATTAATTGGATTTTAAAATTTCGTGACAATCAAAATGCAATTAATTAACTAATTATTATTAAACAATATTAAGTAAATATAGGTACTTTTAATTTTAATATACAGGGTGACCCAAAAGAAACCGGGCACGCTATATATAGAATCGCGCTTAGAAGCCATGAAATAGAATTGAATAAGCTACAAAATAAGCGAAAAAATATTAAAAAATATAAATGAGAAAAAAAAATATGAAGAAAATAAAAGTGCCCGGTTTCTTTTGGGTCACCCTGTAAAAAAATTTAAATTATATTCACTTTTTTAATTTAAAACATGCAACTTTAATTATCTTTACCTAAATTTTGTTATTAAAACATTTTTTTAATTTATTCTACTTTAAACGCAATTGCGGCAATTTATTCAATTTAATATTTTTTCTGGAAAATCTTACCCACCAAAATATTTTTTAAGGAAAATATGGTCATTGCCTAACACAAAAATTTAAAACAATGCATATGGAGTAGAAAATATTTTTCTTAGTATCCATAAATATGTTTGCTAGAATTTTTGTAGATTTTTCCTAAATTTGAACACAGCAACATAAAACAGGCAGAGGGTGCAACCAGCCTTTCAGTGCGGGAGTATGGTTTAGTTGGTTAGTGACAGCGAAAAATGCACAAGGTTCGAATCCTTTCAGTGAAAATGAATTATATAATAAGGAAATCCTAATAATATCTTTTCTAATTAACATTTAATGTCATTTTAAATTAAAATAAATTTTTTCAAATCAATCTTTCCTTTATTTTTCATTTTCTAAATTTACTTATAAAACCATATGTAACTTTTTTTAAACATATTAAAAATCAATAAATTTGGTTTTAAAACAAAGATAAGACTTTGTTTAACGATTTGGCTAAGTTGAAATTTTTTTCTCAAAGTTTTTTTTCGAGATAAAGCTTCTCGAAATTATACATCAAATCTTTAGAGAAATAGCATGCGAAAAAAATAGAGCGATATAGAAAAAGAGAAAATTTTTCATTTATTTCAGTGCCACTGAAACGGCTCTAAGTTGCAGGTTATGTTGCTGTGTTTCTATGTTTTCTATGAAATCTAGCAATCAAACTTTTTTTGAATTGTCAAAATTTTAATCAAAAAATGTTAAAAATATAACTAAAAAATTTATCAAAAATTTGAATAAAAAATTAGAGATAAATCAAATAAATTTGTGAATATATGAAGTGGAAATATTAGAAATAAGAAGCTAATCTAGTATCTAGGTATCGTCCAGAACTATCGTCTTAGTTTGATTTCTGACTAAAAATTACAATTGTTAGACTGAATCGAGCGTGTTTTGAAATTTTGCTCACCCCCCCCCCCCACCCCAAAAAATAATAAGTTTTAAAGAAACCCCAAACAATCCGAATCTAAATAATTAAAAATGAGGAAGTTAAACATCCAAATAACAGGTATGAAAATATCAACAGTCGAGACACACTATTAGATATCACTCACTCAATGGAGATAATTAGGGATAGGATTCTAAAGTCAAAACTTTTTTCCTGAAATTATCATGGCGTGGAACACCGGAAATTTGACTGGCCATAACTCTGCCCATAACCATTTTGCAGAGAAAAAAGGAACTCACTTCGCATAGCGAGTCGAGGGTCCCCTATCGAATGATACCAAAAAATGCAAAATTCCTGTACACAATAGGCAATTTCCCCTTATTACTGGTAATGATGTTTACATAAAGTCAGCTCATTCCATCTTTACGTGGATATCTAATACTAGTAAGTACCAAAATATCTAATACCAAAATATCTAATACCAAAATAGGCTAGAGTTCACCTTAGCAACACACTGAAAGCCATGTTTTTCTAATGTAAAAATGTGGAAAGTATGAAAAAAAGTACTCAAAATGGTGCTCCCATACATTTTTACCGGATTTTCAGACCCCTAAAAATTTTGCATATTCGAATTTTTGACTCCAAAAATCAGCCTTGTCCTCACTATAGTTTTCGATTTTCAGGGGTTTGAAAATCCGGAAAAAATTTTGAGTAATTTTAGTGTTTTTTGAACTCAGCGCATTTTATTACACTAGAAAAACGTGTTTTTTGTTGTGTTGCTAAGGTGAACTCTTACCCCAAAATATCTAATACCAAAATATCTAATACCAAAATTTTCTTTTAAAATTAGCTTCATTCAATCCTCATCGTCATATTCTTCTTCCTCTTCATCCGCTTCTAAATTAGTATTGTCAATGTAATTGTTGACCTTTAAATGAAAAAAATACTTTTTCGTACATATTAATTAAAGTCCCGATTTCTTTAACTTTATAATTTTTAGTAAAAAAGGCAACAAAAGTTAAATTTACACTGCTTTCTATTATTAATACAATACCAAAATTGGTTTTAAAATTTAGTTGCTTTTAAATATTCGCTGGTTGCGGGTGTTAGTTATTTTTTAATATTTTTCTAAATATTTATGAAAAATCTACTAGGTATATTCTATTGGATAGATCCGGCCTCTAAACTTACAAAATGAACAAATGGACGATGTTGAGGAGGAAATCTTTTTCCATTTTGTATTTCCATATAAATTAGTGTTTGATTATACCCAATACTTCCAAATATCGCAATCACGTTTGGAATAATAACTTGTTGTTGGATTAATGTTTGGAGGTTTTCATCTAAAGAAAAGAAGATTCCATACAAATCTTGATAGTACTCCATAACAGCTTTTATATAATTATATCCATATTCTGATAATGTATTTTCAACTTCTTAAATTTTTATTTTATTTAGGAACATTTTTAAGCTAAGATTTTTTTTCAAATAACCGGACCCGGTATCCTTAATACATTCTTCCATGTTAAAACCACGAAAAAACAATTGGCCCCGGTTTCTTTCAAAATTCGAAATTTCTAAATTAATTTGCCAAAAAATTTTATTTTACTTGTAAATGTAAACATAATGTTCATATATGGTCGAATATCCGTTTGATATATAAATAGCGGGTTGTAAGATTGTCTCAAATGGCCTTCAATCATACTTAAAGAATCCACAAGAAGTGCACGATCTGAAATACAATTTTTATATTTAAATAGAAATTATTAAAAACGGGCTCAATATCCCGTATTATCCGTAATAATATGTCGTCCTATATCAATCAAGTTTTTATAAAAATGATATAAAGTAATATGTAAATTTAAAAGTTTTTGCCGCTGCGGAGGAAGCCGGGCATGTCGAGCGGAACGACGGCCGTCACTTCACTACGGAAGCCGCGAGCGAAGCGAGAACAGTTAACATTCATAACCTACCTCCATAATGCCCATGTGTATAAGAAACTCGATAGTTAGATATATAGGAGTATATCTGTAGGTGACGTAATGTGAAGCCTAAAAGATGATTGGCGGTAACCTCAAATTCGTCATAGGCATAAAAATATCCAAAAATTGAAAGTTGGTTGCTAAAATATTTAAATTATGTTTAATTCATTTTGGTCATGAACTGGGTGAGCTCTAAAACCCCATCCTGAACTTATGGCACAGATAGCGACTGTATAGTTTTCGGTTAAACATAATAGTGTTCTGGCGAGAGTTCAGGCTCTTAAAAATTAGATCTGATTCTGACCACGTCAAAATTTCAGTTTCCGATGAGATCCCCTATTTTTGTTTCATGTCTATGTCTAGGCCTTCTTTTAAATTTTAACTTTTAAATTTTATTCAGACTTTTTTCTTTAATTTTATTGAGCCAAAAAATTACCGTGAATTAGTAAATAAATTTATATAATTTTGTGAGTGATTTATTATAAACATTCCGATAAGAATTCTTGTTAAAGCCAACAAATTATAGAAAATTAAAAGATTCTTTTCGAGTTGTGTTGGTTCTAGCAAATTTTGTAAAATATTATTTAGTTCTTGTTCGCTGAAATTTTATTTTTTGTGAAATTTTTAATAAAAATATCTTCCAAAAAACCTTTTAGAATGTAAAGATGTTGGACAGGGGAAATTTCCCCGATTTATTAAACTTCTATCTATTTCAATACCATAAGGGTTCAAAAATTCAATATAATTTTGTCTTCCCATAAATTTACCAAAATCAACAAGTCTTTTATAAATAAAGTCTAATTTCCTTCCCGGATCAGTAAGTTCATTTCGTAAATTATGCATATACTGTCCAATAACAATATTCTCAATGTGTCTAATAGCCTTAAAATTAATAAATTAAAGAATTATGTTAATTATATTTAGGGATTCGAATAAAAGTAAATGTTATGTATGTGAATATGCTTTGAGTGAAAGTTTGTCCTCAATATCCAACACCCCTCCAAAAACCAACAAAATTCACGAAAACGGATATTTATTTATTATGTTTCAGTCTGTTGACTTAAACTTAAAGAGATATTTTCAATTTGAAATTTGCAAAATTGATCGAGAGAATAAACTGAGATTTCGAAATCTTTGTAAATTTCTAAAATCGAATCAGAATTGACCGAGAAAAAGTACAAAAACTTATTTTAAAAAATCGCAAAAGGGAAACGTTTTGAATTAAAAACATGACACCGGAAATGTAAGCACGCAAAAAGGAACAAAATCGCGCGCGACTTTTCTCTCCTCTTTTTCCATTATCTTTTCTTTCGCAAGATGTGGGGGAGATTTTTTTACTTAATAGCATAGGTGGGTAGTAATTCCGATGGCAAGATTTTTACCTAAACGTAACCTAATAGCAGAGGTGGGTCGGAATTCCGGCTTTTGAGCCAGTTCCTTTCCGGCTCTTCCGATTTCCGATACCTCTGACTGTTCCGACCCACCTCGCTTACTAGCAAACAGTGCTACTTATTTATTAGGGTTTCACCGGAACCGAAATTTTGACCGGAACCGGATCCAATCTGAGTTCCGGTTCCCGGAACCGGAACTTTTCAAAGTTCCGGCCCGGAACCGGAACTTTTACTAGAAATTTTTTTTAAAAATTTTTTTTAAAAATTTTAAAAAATTTTTTTAAAAATTTAAAAAAATTTTTTTAAAAAATTTTTTCTAAAAAATTTTTTAAAAAAATTTTTTTTTTAAATTTTTTCTAAAAAATTTTTTTAAAAAATTTTTTTAAAAAATTTTTTCTAAAAAATTTTTTTAAAAAATTTTTTTAAAAATTTTTTTAAAAACTTTTACTAACTTTTACTAGAACTTTTTTTTATTTTACTAGCAAATTTTAAAAAATTTGCATTTTAAATAGGATTGGTTTAGCCAAATTCTTCGATAACCGAAACCGACCCGAAAATTATCGTCGGTTAAGTGATATATGTGGATTAGGGAGTGTAGTATAACGGATTTGTCGGATATAAGTATTTGATATCGGGCGATAAAAGGTTATGTGGAAATAAGGAGGGATAGAAGGATATAAGGATCCATCGATAATTAATCCCTGATATTCACCGAAGATATCAAATCCCTAATATCTACATAAAAAATCTTAAATTCTTGTGATTTTTTGGAGTCCATCTGTAGTTTTAAATTTAAAGCGTTATCCGATAATTTTTGATAATGATTTGTTTTTTGGAAGGCCGAGAAGCCAAATATAATTTTGAGAATATTGCAAGGACAACCCATATTTTTTATAAAAAAAACTAATCCTTAGGGGTGTAAAAAAGTTCCGGTTTGCCCGGAACCGATTTGTAAACCGGGGTAAATGTCCGTTTCGTTCCCTACCTGTCCGCAAAGAGAATGCGCATTTTTCTTTCCTTTCCTTGCATTTTTTGCGTTAGGAAAAAAGAACCGGAACCAAAAAACACCGGAACTTTCCGGAACCGGAACTTCCGGTGAAACCCTATTATTTATATATTTAATTTATTAACATTTTTCATAAAAATTTCTAAAAATAAAATTAAAAATAGTAAGAAGTTCTCTCAAAATAATTTATCTAAATTAAAATTTTTAAAACTACTTACTTCCACTATTTTTTGTTGAAAAAGGGAAATATTTGGATTAGAAATCAACTCCGAAGAATTAATTGAAAGAAGAAAATCTCTTCCTTTATTTCTAATAATTTCACCAATTTCAGTGTCAGTATTTAATTCAGCCGTTTCAATATTCTTTAAAATACGAATAAGGAGTGACAGTTCTACAAGATCAAAGCTTTTCAAGTTGGTAGTATTTAAAAGTCGATTTTGACCAGTTCTCATGCTTCCTATTATTTTTTGGATATTAATATAAGATTATTATTTATTAAGAAAGTTGTAGAACCCCATGCCTAGTGCTGGGCTTCTGAGCTTGAATCAGTTAAGATTTTGAAATACTCGGAGCCTGAGCCAAAATGCCAGAATTATACATTTAAGTCAGAAAGTATCCTTTGATATCGAGATCCTTTGATCGTATCCTGTTTCTTTGATATATTTCTAAATTTAATTTAAGAAAAATAATTCTTTAATTTAATCATACAAATCAAAAAATAAAATCATGGGATACGTTTCTTCCAACGCCGTCACTAATGAGGTTTTTCCAGAGGTAAGGTGATAAGGTGAATTTTTTTTTCTTAATAAGGTGAATTTTTAGGGGGAATTTTTAGTGCCTTCTTTAATTATAATAATTTTTTACCTGATGGGGGGTTCATTCCTTTAACCAAATTTTGGGACAAATTTTGGTTAAAAATAAATAAAAGAGTTGTTATAACGATTGGAAATAACATTTAGTTAAATTTTCTTCAAATATAGAAGAAAAAATTATCTAAATATTAAAGGGAAATTTGAATTAGAAATTGGATGGACTTTCTCTAATTTTATGTTTTTGGGTTTATTTGTTGAATTTTTTGTTTTGTTAATTTTTTTAGAATTAAGAATTTGAAAAGAAATTCTTTATTCAAACGACCCTAAAATTTCAAATATCAACTAGTAGTAGAAGACTTGGAAATTACTCGGAATCATCCCCATATTTTGGATTTGATTCAAATATGTATTATCAAAGTTTTTGTCTGGAAATTGGGATTTATAAATAGCTATTTACCGTATTTTCTCGATAAATTCCCCTCACTCGAATAATTCCCCCCTCGATTAATTCCCCATGCCAAGGAAGGGTTGAAAAAATAATTCCCCGGGGAATTAATCGTAGACGGCGTGTTGTAATGGCTAACACATCTGTCCGGTTTACTGAAGATTCTGGTTCGCTCCCAGCCGCCGAACAACCTTTTACACTAGCTAAAGGAGATAAATAGCTATAGCCTAGCTGCTTTACTATATGTATATTTATGTATAAGAAAGAAAATTTTGAAAGGTGAAGTCTGGGGATATAAATTTTTAAGGTAATATAAAATGAAAAGCATGGGGGGGGGGGGGGGGGGGTTAGAGAGGTGGGGGATTTTTAGTGGAGGGAAAATTTGTCGAGGTGGGGATTTATTTACTTTATGTAAATCAATAACAATTCAAAAAAAATTTTTAAATATGTATAAAAAAGATTTAAATAAAATTTTAAAAGGCTATAAGCTTAGGCGGTAGGTTAAGGTCTATAAAAAATTTGTTTCCATCTTCCGCCTACTCTCCCGTCTTTTTTGGTCTTACACCTCTCCTTCCGTTTTGTTTGGTAAACCTCGAAAAAATTTTTATAAGCAAGAATAAACAATGAAGCCAGACTTGGACGGATAATTTAATTTTACGGGAAAGTTTTTCGAGGGGGTGTGGGAATTAATTGGATTTTTGAATTTCGTGACAATTAAAACGCAATTAATTAATTTACTATAATTATTATACTTAAATATACTTTTACTTTTATTAAAAAAGTTTCAATTATTTTCTCTTTTTTTAAATTTAATGCACGCAACTTGAATTTGCCTAACTTTTGTTAGTTAAAAAATATTTAAAAAATTAATTTTACTTTAAACGCAAACTTTTAATTTAAACAAATTATTTACTTTAAGTATTATTAAAAATAATTAAAATTAAAATGCCCGACCTATCCATCTCTCGTATAAATGTTGTAGTTGATTTAATTGGCATTCCTTTCTTTCTAATTCTTGTTTATGTGACTATTAAACACAAGTTTGGAATTAGTTTTAAATTTAAAATTTGTATGTTTTAGTTATCCCTTTTCAGAGGGTTGGGGGCCCGGTCCGTTCCGAAAGATCGAGTCGGGCATCAAATTTTGGCCCGAAAAAGACTGGGTCGGCGGCCCAATAAAAATGAGGCCCGAAAAAAATGACTCGAACCAGGGGCGGGCGCATTGCGTTTTGCGTTATTTGCGTTAAATTTTGGCCTTGCGTTGCGTTTTGCGTTTTTGGAAATTGTCTCTTGCGCCCGCCCCTGACTCGAACGTCGGCCCGAGTCGTAAACCCTAAGTCTACTTTTCAGATAAGTGTAAAAAATATTTATCCTCAGAGAGGATTTTCTTTTTACCTTCCTATTTAATTTATAGGGAAAATATCTCAGATTAATTATTCAACAGAATAATTAATCTAGATAAATAAACAAATAAATTTAACACAAATACAAAAAAATCTTTATCTTCAATCAAAAAATATTCACACAGAATATTATAAAAAATGAATATTTCAAAAAGACATTGAAAAGTGAAATTTCTGCCTACTTTTTATAGGCAAAAATTTCTATATAAAAATGATGCAATGTTAAGTACATTGCAAAAAAGTACATAAAAAATTGTCAAAAATGGAAAGTGACTCACTGAGTCACCTCCAAAAATAATAAACAAAATAAAAAATATCAAAAATATTTCAAATCTTTAATTCTTCAATTTCGTCATCGACACTCCCCGCCAAGAATCCTCTCATCTCTCCATGTTTTTTGTAGTTGCATTGAAGAAAAGAGTTGCACATTGATGCGACATGTTGGCAAGTTCGTGTGATGATAATCGAAGAGCGCTTGAGTTTGTAGAAGATTCTGTATTTGGCAATGACTTTGGTGAGGTGCTGTTGTCATTGCCTTTAGTTGGACAATTATTTGTTGTATGTCCGAATGTATGATGAGAAGAATACTTTCTATTTGTATGCCGCATTGGAGCTTTATCAGATAATTCTTGTATTTTTGTTTGTTTGATGATTGCTTTTGATGTAGAGTCTTTTTTGTTGTTGGAGCAGAAGCATTAGTTGAAAGAGATGAGGGGAAATCCTGTGAGATAGTCCGAATGACCTGAAATTGCTTGATCTGGTTTCTTTTTCTCGTTTTAACAGGAAA